TTCCCCTGGCTGCAGAGCTAGGAGTGCTGGACTCTTTGGTAACTAGGTTAGCTCCCATGTTCCTGTGGTCATTCTTTGTTTACACTCGTTTGGCTGGTTTCAGGGGTCTCTCCTTCTTTCCACTTCTCATGCTCTCTTCTGAAGTTTCTTTCTCCTGAAGGTTTTGCCCAGCGACGTGGATTCGAGTTTCTGCAGCCCTGAACCCAACGGCCATGGTGTTCCAGCTTCTCTCCGTCTTCCTGATCTTGTGGCTTCTCCTCCTCGAGGCTCGATCCATCTTTTCTGACCGGAGTCTGAGAACACCGATCAGTGTTTAAAAGCATCTCTGTTTCATGCAAGGCAGTTCTGTCTCTGTCTCGGGTTTTTGAGGGTTTTCCCCGAGTTCATTCTCACCAGTCCCTGGGGGTGCCCCCCACGCGGGGACTCTGCCACTTCCAGAGGGAATGCCTTGCTGGCTCTTCATGTTCACGCACACCTGTGCGTGCTGTCTGCATCAGGACCAGTCCCGGCTTTTCATGCCTGGGTCTCCACTCACAGTCCAGCTTTCTCTCTCTCTCTCTCTCTCTCATGCACACTTGGGACAGGCCCCCTTGGCAATCTCGTTCAGCTCAGTACCATCTACACCTGAACAAACTCTGCCTTAACTTTCTAACCGGTGCATAACGTTTCTGGTGCATTGCTAAGGTGGGTCTACCCACCCTATATTCCCTTTATATTTCTCTGGGAACCTCCATAGGAGCCTGGCAGAGTGAAAGAGACTGCCAGGTACCATGTGCTTTTCATCTTCCTTTTGGAAATCCCACAACGTCTGCCCTTTAAAAATTGCTGAGAAAGAGGATTTGGGCTGCCGTATCCACTTGGTCTGTTCTGTCTTTGGAACGGAAAAATGATGCTGAGCTGAACACATCACTGTCCGTCATCAGTGATGTTTCCTACTTTCCTTTGATGTCTGGTGCAGCCACTTCACTGAGTCTTGGCCGAGGAGATGCAAGAGGAAATTGGGGTTTGTTGGCATGGTTTCCAGCTGCTGAAAGGGAGCTGACCCAGCTGAGAAGACCCTTTTCAACAGGGCAGATGTGATGACCGGCACCCCTGCAGTCATCTTAGTCTGTGAGGATGCAAGCCCTGCACCAGCATGCCATGCAAAAAGACAGGTGGCTGGGACCCTGAAGGACTGGGGAGTTGATGTACCAGCCCTGGCCCACCTACATTGGGCTTCTTCTGGGTGAGAGAGAAATAAACTTCTGTCTTGCTTAAGTCACTCTTATTTGCATTAAAAATTAAGTAATCAAATAATCCTAACAGAGCCTGAGATATACTTATCGATGCCAGAATAACCTCACTTTGAATGTACATTCATGACTTTAGTCATTTCTGCCTCTATTTGAAATATCCATTATTTCTACAGCAGTTCATGCTCTTAAAATATATATGTTTTAAAGCAGGACACATTACCTATGATAAACATAACATCAGTGTCATATATAATAAGTAGATGATAATTATGAAAAAAAAAATCAAATTCTAGCTGTGTACTCTTGCCTCTCTATGATCTGCTGGCAAAGGAGACACCGTAAGGCCAAGGCTGAGCGTTTCCATCAGAAGTCTTCCTAGAGAACCGAAAGCCATGGAAGCAAATGTCACTCAAGTTTATTCAATGTTACCACCTAAAATCATTTACACAGCAACAGTGGCAACTTGGAAAACACTCCTCTATGCAGAGAAGAGCAAGTACGTAAAAAATATATGGCTTCTGTTACACACTGGCCTCAGTTTACCTTGTGCTGTAGTGAGTGAGATTCTAAAAATGCAAAATGGAATCTGATGGGCAGAGCATTAGTTATTCTAGTCTGTTCCATACTATTTCCAGAGCCCCCCTGGCTGTGATAACATTGATATGTTAATACTATGATGATAAGGTTTTCAGCAACCAAACTTCTCCAGAAAGGGAAGGCTGTATTTCAACTCAGATGAGAGATCATCTCTCCTTCCAGTTGAATTCATCACTACCACAAGTGTCTCCTTAATCCATAAAATTACACCCGTCACACTGACTTAACTTCATTAACGCAACTTCGTGATCCGGTGAATTATTAGCAATACAAAATCCATGACTCTCGGGCTAATTAAGATTGCCTCTTTGCATTCTGATGATCTGATTCTGACTTTTACGAATAACTAAGAAACATTCAAAGAGAGTGGGGAGAACTTATAAAGCAAGACAACTTCTGAAGCAAAACCTTCTAATGTTAAACTATCCACTCCATAATACATTTTCCAATTATCCTTCAAATAAAGAGAAATGGTTCTCCTCCCAGGCGGCTCACTACCCCAAATACTGGAGCATGGTATTTCTTCATTGAATACTGTGCAGACAGAAGTAAAATGAAAATTTCTGAAGTGAGGAGAAAAATTGAATATATTAATGAATATATCATATTCAAAAATGTCAATTTGGCTGTATACATTTTATTAAATGGTAATACACGCACAGACTGAAAAATTCACAGTCCAAATGGTTCACAGGATAATGTAACTTACACTCAGCCTTCTCCCCCAACTTCTTGACACCCCACCCAGGAGAAAGCACAGTTACCACATCCTCTGCTCAAAAAGTACCTTTCCCTGGGTTTTCCCCCAAACTGGCCTTCAATATACACCCTGTTATACACCTTGCTTTTTTAAACAGGTGTACTGGCGAGGATTCAGGATGTATGGTTTGCATCCCACCGCATGTAGTAACAGAGATGAAGTGGAATTCTAGAACTGCGGGAAATAAACATTTACGGAGATCCCCACATGCACCAGATGCTGCTGTAGGGGCTGGAACCAGAGCTGCAAACAGGAGAGTCACATTCCCAAACAGGGAGAGCTCACACGTGCAGGCTTCCTCATTAGGCAGATCCTTCCTAGCTGCGGCGAAAGAACTGGATTCTAAAAACATAACCCTCCACGCCCATCGACACATGTGAGTACGGATAAATCACATGACAATGTGTGCATACATGTGTGCACATGCTTAAACACCCATATCATATATGTATTGTATATGTGTTCCATAGAGTCCCGCTACACAGATACATGTATCTCATTACGGACACAAACACGTGGTACACATATATATATATAATATATATCACATATTACCTACACAGACACACATAAGTCTGTATGTCTGTGTACATGTGTGCTTTTTTTCATATCATCTGGACCCACAGCAGGAAACAGAGAACGGACATCAGAATCTACAAAGGGATAAGGCATGTTCTCCATAGGCAATGGCATTATGGTATCAGGATTTTGAAGGAATAACTTGGTATTCCATTTGCGGCACTTGCTTCTGAAAGAAGATACTGATAGAAATAAAAGAAAAGTGGCAAGCCCCATATGTTGGTATGTTTCCATGTGTTCTGCAGACGCTGAGTTTCTGTCCCACTTAAAGAAGTGTTCAAGGCCTTCGCTTGACTCAGGAAAAGCAGCTTACACCTTAATTGGGATGAGGCACCTTCAGAAAGTTTCCTTACTTCTCCTCCAGGGCCAAGACAAACTGAACTAATTCTTAGCCAGAAATTCAAAAGCCAAAAAAAAAAAAAAAAAAAAGTTTAAAATAGTTCGAATCTCTTCACGTTTCATAGAAAACACTCCAACCCCTACTTTTAATAATAACCCACAGAGAAAATGCAAGAAAGAGAGCAGAAAACAAAACAGACTGGTTGAGATCCTTCTTCCCAAATTCCTCTCCTGGTAAAGAACACCTGCCTACCCGCCTACCGAACTACCTATCACGCATCTATCCATACATCCATCCATCTTTCCTTCCTCATTTTTGCTAACTTCACAACACAAAAGAAATCCTTACTAAGGTTTTTTACCTCTACTTTCCAAATCACATGACTGGCACAGCCATGTTTGGATGTGTGGATATGTGTAAGTTCATTACGTGAATCAGTGTGCCATTCTGTTACTACATAGGGCAGAACTCTAAATCCGAATTTCTTCCTTTTCCTCTCATTTGCTGTGCAAGCAAATCTTCATGAAAAACTCTTAGAACACTGGTCACAAAAGGAAGGACACAAGCGAGAGCTTGAGAGGTGACGACCTGAGTCCTGGAGCACCACCAGCGCGGGGAACACAGACGGGACCCCAAGTCAAACTGTCCCCAGACTGGCATCAAATGCTCCCTGATAATGAACCAAAAAAATGTATCCTAGCTATCAGCTGAGATTCACGTTCTCGATATTAGAATAAGTAAATGGAAAGCAAACGTTTTTTTCCCAACACTGAGCTATGAAGTTCAATAATTTGACACCAGAAATAACGTGTTACATACCTGGGATTCATCTGCTTGTTATTTTTTCCATTTTCCATAATATACAGAGCAAAAACCGACCAGCTTGAAAGCAGTAAAAATATGTGACCAGACTAGGAATTCTCCAGAGCCACAAATGAGGTTTCAGAAAAACAGGAATAAATCAAGAACCACTGAGTTTCCAAGTCTCTCTGCCCAGCTGTGAGTTGAGGGTTTCTAATTTGGTGGGTATCAGACACAGATTCAAGTTTTAATTTGTCTCTAGAGTGATTCACAATGGCCCATCATTCCACAGCAGACAGCCTGCCGTTCATCAGAAAGTGCGTGTGCACAATCACATACGTCTACGTGGCAAATGGGGAACGCACCCCACGTGTGCCCAGATACACACAGCGCTGTTGTAACACTCGAGGGACAGGCCATCATATCAGAGATGCCCAGACCGAGGGGGAGGAGGCCATGAGGCAGGGCAGGACCATCTGCAGATAAATCCCACCTGCACGGAGCAGTCCTTGCAGGTGCCCCAAGGTTATGCTCAACTGTGGAGGGGGTCAACTATTTGTCTGTATCTGGTTATACAGACAACAGGCACCACATGCAAACCACAGTGAGAACGGGTTGTCAGCACACGCGGGGAGAAGGAGCTCCCCGTCACAGCAAGTCTGGAGATGCCGGACGCCGCGGGACTCACCTGGTTTCCGAGCCAGCAGATTTCTTCTGACAAACGATGACAGCAGGTGCATACTTGCCACTGTGGTCCGTGCCCTCCGTGACCTCCCAAATGGAAGGGCTGCTGGCTCTCACCCCCACGACGCTCACGCCCTTCTGCACCTTGGCCCTGTAGGAGACAGAGAGTGCACAGCTCAGACGGCGCTGGGGAGCCGGGGGTCCCGCGGGTTCTGGGAGCACGGGGAACACACCTGCACGGGGCTGCCCGGCAGGTGTCAGCTCCCGCTAAACAGATACGATTTAATCACGTATCTGCCAGCACCTCGCAATCCATCTGTCCTAACTGTCCCCCGGTCATCCCCACCTTTAGCACAGGGCCAGTAGTCTGCGGGCATGAAGAAATACAGCTGCGCTCATGGGTGGCTTCGGTTTTTTTTTTTTTTTTAAACAATGACTTTCTTGAAAACCCCTAGACTATGATAACTAAACAGGAGAAGGAAATGAATTAAAACTGCATGAATGAAGTTAGTTCTGACACCGCGCGCTCACGGACCCTCCCCTCTGCGCCAGGCGCTGACGGAAGCCTCGCCTGGACCACCTGCTTCCCTCAGGTGTGCTCAGGGCCTAAGGAGGGGCCCCAGGACCACAGGAGCTGAGGCTTGAACACAGCGGTCCGACTCCGCCCGCGCACCCCCACTCCCACCCCGCCCCCCCGCCCGCGCCCCTCCCACCACACAGCCCCCCTCCCCCCTGCCCTGAGCATCTGGGTCCTGGCGGCTGCCGGGCCACTGTGCCCCACCCACCAGGTGCGCTTCCCTACAGTCGCAGCGCTTTGAAGTATCACACGCGTCCTGCGGGGTCAGTGCTTCCACGGAGCGGTGACCCAGGTGTCCCCTGGCCCCGAAACACCTCGCAGCCCGAGCCGTGCCCGGTGCTCCCCTTGGCCTGACACACACCCATCTGGCGCGGAAGCCGTTCACCCCCATCCCACTCACGCTCCCTGCTACCCGTCGCTGGTCAGCGCGTGTCTAGAGATCGAACACTCACTCGGACTTTGCAGATTTGCTCTCCGGCACACACAAGCCCATTCCTTCACTCCTCCCTCATCGTCCGAGGCAGGGGGACCGTGACATGCCCAGAGGCTGCTCGCCAAGATACGAGGGGCCTGGTTCCTTCCCGAGAAGCTGGTGAGCGAGGAAGGGTCTATCACAGCAGAGCCCCGATTTGCTCTCAGAAGTTTCAAGTGACAAACATCCAGAACGGCAAGTGCACAACACAAAATGCAATGCATGTGCGAACTGGCCTCATGTCTGAGAGTCATGTTCCTGACGGGTTTTCTCCTCCTCGTCCCTTGGGAAGCACACGAGGAACCTTCCAGCAAGAGCCGGGGGGGTGAGCGGGTGACTGGGGAGAAGACCGTCTGGTGGGGGGTCCCTCCAGAGGTCCAACTGCTGTGCACACACGGACACGGAGCCCCGGCCACAGACACCGGCCTCCGCCTCCGAACTCTCGTGCCCACTCAGAGACAAGCAGGGCGGGAGGAGGAGAGAGAGGGACACGCCCACCCCTAACCCCAAGAACAAGACCTCCCCCAGAAACAACTTCAAAGTACATTGTGTAGAAGACCCAGAAGCAGGTCTGGGGTTGGTATTCCAGAAAGGCCCACTTGCAAGGAGGCTCCTGGCTGGCATCCAAGCTCTGGGCTTATGGGAGGGGGTTCCCACCGTTCCCTGAGAAGAGGGGCTCACCATACGCAAACAGTTGGTACAAACAACGGGGCTTATGCCTGACACCCACCGGAGTCTGGGATCACGGTGCATGCCAGGCAGAGGGGCCTGGTGACCAGCCCCCAGTGAAAACCCTGGGCTTCTGGGCTCAGCTGAGCTTCCCGGGTGGACGAGACTCACACATGAGGCCACAAGTCATTGCTGAGGGACCAGGGGCGTCCCGCATGACTCCCCCAGGAGAAGGTTCTGGAAGCCTGTGCCTAGCTCCCCCAGACTTCACCCCATGCGTCTTTTCCCTTTGTTGAATTTGCTTTGTGTCCTTCGCTGTAACAAATCACCCCTATGATTAGGACTCTATGCTGCATCCTGAGTCCTCCTGGCAAGTCAGCAAACCGCAGGGTGGTCCGGGGAACCCCAACACACAACCTGATTTGACTGTTCTACAAAGAGAAGGGGAATCATCGTGTGTGGCCCTCACGATGCTAAAGCTGGAAGTTTTAGGAGGCGAGCTTCAATGGATAACATTATTTCTGCAGGAAAAAAAAATCGCATGTTTTGTGTTTTAAATAATCATCATACGGGCCAACACTTTGAATGCACCCATTTATAAATTAGGAAGTGAATGCACAGGCCAGAAAGCCGTCTCATTTTCTGGGTACTCCGGTGAGACACGAAGGTGAATAAGCTATGATTTCTGCCTTGCAGCAACTCTATTAAATAGCAGGCAACCAGGACGTGGTGGCTAAAAAAAGTTCAATTCACTGAGGACAGATGCTATTATATGGAGATGAATTCTAAGGGCTGTCCCAATTATGGCGCGCTGGAATTTTATTGAGTCAAATTTGCTTTAAATAAATAGGTCATCATTCTGGATTTGGTGATCTTTTCATTCTACAGGAGATACCAGTGTGTAAGACTTTTCTGATACAGAATGGGCTCATATTTTTCTTAAATTGTACTCACAAGTAGGTCATGTGGAGCTCAGATAATGCTTCTTCCGTGAATCGTTTTCAAGTTCTCAGCAAAGAACGTGGTTGCTTATGTAACCTGTGAAGTACCCAGTATTTGTTCCTAGTGATCCTACTGCGCTAACGTGACGCTGTAATAAATAACATTATTTTGAAGGGGACATTCTTTCTGAAACGCAGTGCAGGACACTAGGAGGTTGCTTTTCACCGACACAGTGTTTTCATAAGAGAAGACACATTCCTAGGGCATGTTGCAGATGTCCTGAACAGAAGGACGGATCCTTGCTCAAGAGGTATCCCTGAATGGCTTCTATCAAGTGCGAACACACATGGGAAACTGGGTGGTTATTCCTCGAACGCATTATCTATGGTGCATACTGAACAAGGTTTGTCGTCGGGCTAGCCATTTTTACATGCTAACCTCGCTGTAAGTGGCGGTGTTTGGGAACCATTAAGATAATTCGTAGGACATGTGCAGTTTGGCTTCACTGGGTTTGAACCAAGTGCTAATTCCTGCCTTCGTTTATGACAACTGAGTTACGTATATTCATTAAAGGAAGTTTTATAACCTACTTGTGGTTCCATCCATACAGGTTACCCTGACAGCTTCATTACACAGGGATAAACACAGCGCTTCATTTCCAGAGACACTCTATTGCATATTTATACTTGAAAATATATCTACCGTAGTGACGGGGAGAACAGCCATCATTTCTCCCATGGTGGGCACGTGCATGGGGACGGATAAAAGTAAAACCTGCTTGGGTTAAGGGCATATTGTGTTTTTAAAACATAGCAGAGCTATGCCATACACACACAAAACTATACATACACATATATACACAGTCGACCCTTGAATAGCATGGGCTTGAACCGCACACATCCACTTATGCAGGGTTTTTTTCGATAAATACAGCAAGGACCATAAATGTATCTCCTCTTCCTTATGGTTTTCTTAGTAACATTTTACTTTCTCTAGCCTCCCTTTTGCAATGATACAATATATAATACATAGAACATATGAAGTACGTGCTGATCAATGGTCTATGTTATTGGTAAGGCTCCCCATCAACAGCAGTCTGCTAGGAGTTACATTCTGGGGATTCAGAGTTAGACTCAAATTTTGGGCTGTGCAGTGAGTTGACACCCCTAACTCCCGTGTTGTGCAAGGGTCAACTGTATACCCATATACACATATGTACACACATACACATACACATACAAACATGTGTGTCTATGTGTTCCAAGCACAGCATCCAATAACATTACCGAACCAGCTAGGAACCCGGGTGCTGACCGCCGTTCACACTTGATTTTGCTATCCCCACACCCAGTGTCTCCTATTTGGGGTGACAGAAGGATGCAGCATGCTTACAAGAGTTGTCGATTTGGTGACCAGCACCCCTCCCCATTAACGGATAGAAACCTGCATTTCCCCACTGGTTCAAAGTCCAACGAAAACCCCTCTGGGTCAAAGCAAAGCTTCTTCCAAAAATGTTCCTCGTACCTTTGCTTCTTTTCTCTCATTCACCGTGAAAAGAATAAAGCGTGCTCTGTATCCTCACACACAGTAGGCTTCCTGCCATAGCTCACAATCACGCGCTGTGTCTAATTGCTGCTTGACTGGGAACCATTTACAACAACACCCCATCCCACCGAGTCCGCGTGCCCCACGACCTAGAACGTTTCATTTATTGTTGGAGCCGCTTTGACCCTCTCCCCACGTCCTGGCCCTGCCCCGGCCAACAACATTCATGTGATTCTTTACAATGCTATCAGCCATTCTTTGAGGCTCCGGTGACACTGGGCCCCTCCTTCTATCCCTGGAAGGTACTTGGCTAAGTCTCTGCCGTGGCTTCGGGACGACCCCAGTATACGCAGCAGCGATATGGAAAAGCTGATCCTACATAAAATCTAAATCCTGTAAAACGGCAGGTTCCAATACTTGTTTATTATCATGCACTCACACCAACTATTTGTTGGCATTCTCCCTTAATATGGGCATATTTATTTATCAATTTTGTGCTTAGACTATTGCAATGTAAATATACTATAAAACATACACGAAAGGATGCATTAAAATGATGAGATTAGGAGAAACGTGCTGGGAAGTCCTGATTCTCCACAGTCTCAGCGAATCACTCTGCACGCCCCTCAGGGTGAACGTCCACGAGAAGGTCCCACTCGAACTGATTTCCGAGTGCAGGACGAGGAAACGCAGTGAGCAGAGGTCATGTTACAAGGAGGCAGGCGGATGGGTATTGACAAGATGCTGAAACTCTCCCACCGGTTCTGTGGCTCACAGCTTCAGGGGGAGGCAGGGATCTGTTTTGACGTGGCCATTTCTTGGGCAGCTATTAAATTTAGAATGAAGACCACCGGCTTCACGGCAAACCGTTTTTGATGTCACACTGTCAGTAAAGCACCAGGACCAAAGGACCACCCTGTGCGGGACATTCTAGGACAGACTCCTG